AGGAAGCGAGAGGACGGGAAGGGAAGTGAGAACGGAAGCGGGATCTGGAAGCGAGTCGAAGGGAAGGATTTCCAAATSCCGGCCATATGCAAAGGATTTCCAAATCCCATGTTTAAGGGATTTTAATGAAAACYTGGGATTTCAAATCCTTACCATTTTGCCAACCAAACACAGGATTGGAATGAATTTTAAATCCAAATCCCCTCAATTTCATTCCATTCCTGCAAACCAAACGCATTCTAAGGGTTTTATCAACGCTTAAATTAGTTAGTGGACTTCGATATTAGAAAAATAATAGGTTACCTGTGCAATGCAGCAAGATACATCTTTATTTTAATGTTTTGTTATTTTTTGTCTCTGTTAGTATATAATAAGTTTATGTAGCTTTTATAAAGATAATTTTTTTTTATTTTTGAATAAAAATAAATTTGAAGATATCATAAAAATTTGAAAAAATATATCGATATTAATATTAAATTAATTATTTAAAAGTTCTCGTTTTTTGTACAATTTATTTTATTCAATTTTTTATTATAATTTAATTTAGGTTTAATAATGAAGTAATCTATTTTTGGCTTAACAATATAATTTTTATAAAGACAATAATTTTTTTAGAATTTAATGATTATCTTGATTATATTTTAATTTTTTTGCATTTAAAATGATATATTTATTATGTATTTAATTATGTTTATTTACAGTTAGTTATATGATTTAAAAATAAATCTTTAATAAGTTATATTTATGCACAATTTACTTATAATCTTAAATTTTAAATAATATACATTAATAAACTGTAATTTATGTATAAAAAATGATTTTTAAGAGTTTTTGTTAAATTTTCTATTATATAGTACATAAATTTATTTATTATAAATCACTAATTTATTTTGATTATTGAATATAACATTTTTAATACAAAAACACCGAGCAAAGTAACTAGTACACAACACACCCCTTAGGCCTTACATGGTGCTAACGGAGATCCACACAGACAAGAATTCCCGGCGAATGAACTCGCCGGAAATGTGGTCGCCGGCAGAGCCCCACACAACTTATTATGACTAACATTGAATGAGTTCAATCCTGTCACCGCCTTGGGAACCTTCCCATAAACCAAATTCCTCGATAAATCCAACGTCTTCAACGTCGCCGGAAACTTCAAACTCTCCAAATTGAACTTCAATCGGTTCCCTGAACCCCAAAAACCCACCAAATAATCAGTTCGATTCAACAGCTTCACAGAACTCCCGTTGATCTCATTTTCCGATAGATCGATGTAATCATAGAAATACGTTTCCGATGGATTCCAATCGTCTAATTTCATCTGGATCCCGCACTTTGCAAGCTTCAAAGAGTATATAATCGGAGACGACGACACCCACTTCGGGATCTGTTTCAGATGAAATTTATTATACGACAAATCCAGCGATTCAATACCTTTTACATTCATAACAGGAAATGGATCTATTAGTTGATTGTGTGAGAGATCCAAATTGAAGATCTTCGTCAGATTCCCAAAAGTTTTTGGTACCGTTCCCGAAAATCGATTCCACGATAAATCCAAAGTGTCTAACGCCCGAAACTTGCCGAGAAAATCTGGGATTCTTCTGCTTAGTGAATTATGGCCTAATTCCAGGTACGCCAGTAACGGAGCCAGACCAGAAATGCTCGCCGGAATGTTACCGGAAAACCTGTTATACGACAATCTAAGAACCCGAAGGTCTGAAAATGAAGTGAAAATATCCGGAATACTCCCGGTAAGTTTGTTCCGGTCTAGAGCTAGAAGCGTTAGATTCTTAAGTTGTCGTATTCCGTCGGGTATCGTTCCGGTGAAATGGTTGCCACCGAGTTTGAGCTGCGATAACTCAGTCAACTTGGAGATCGAACTCGGTATTTTCCCAGAGAATCTATTACCCTCTAAGCTAAGTGCATAGAGTCTGGTCAAGTTACCAATATTTGTCGGCAACCGACCCGATAACTTGTTATTCTCGATATAAACATACCGGAGATTGGGAAGATGAAACAGAACAGTGGGAAAAGGACCCGATAAATTGCGTGTATTTTCGAGGTAAATACCATCAAGGAAACGGAGCTTTGAGAGGGAAGACGATATGGTACCCGATAAGTAGGAGTTGGGTTGGCCGGAAAGTGATATACTATTGACACGGTTGTTGGGAGCTTGACATGAGATTCCAGCCCAGATGCAGCAGTCGGTGGCAGGTTTCCAAGATGAAAGCATGGCGGAGGGGTCGGCGGTGATGGCGGACTTGAAAGAAAGCAGGGCTTGTTCATCATCTGGGTGACATTTTGCAGATATCAGGGTGAAGAGAGAGAGGACAAGGATGAAGGAGAAGGAGAAGAAGGTGGTGATAGCCATTGTTGTAAATGCTTTATCAAGATAGAGAGAGAGATCTTGGTGGGTTATGTATTGTCGCCTACATTTTGTTATTGTTTTTTTTTTTATTTAAAAGTATTTTAAGTTATAAATTAATTAATTCATTTATATATAAAAGAGTGGATTGTACAGTTGGTTTGTGATTATGTTTTGGGTACTTTTTCAGTTTTTTGTTTTCTAATATCTGAAATTTGTTACTCATAATAAAAATGTCGTACAAAATTACATATCATTGATATATCTATACTATATTAATAACCATTTATATTTAAATCTTAATTACAATACTTAAAGTATAGATTATTACCATTTTATACAAGAAATTCAAAAATCTCTTAATTACAAATTATTATACACAATGTATAAGTTTTGTATGCCAACACCAAATCCTAATTAGGTTAAACCTGCTTTCTCTTATCAAACTTCTAAAATTACCACAATGGGCCGCTTTCTTGTTCTTCTGTATTCAATCTCTGCGACCCATTTTACCACAGACCTCGTTTATGTATCACAAGCAAGAACACATGGAAGGAGGCGAGAGAAGACATATGCTACCAATCGGTTTTCATCTAGACGCTTCCTTCCATTTTAAAATGAATTTTGAGATCTAGGGTTTTGTTTTCTGGTTTGGTTCGCAATCCACAAATATGGTTGAAAATGGTATGTATCGATTGAATCTATTTTCCAAGGAAATCAATAGGTAGGTATGTGTTATTGAATGAGTATTTTTGATTTGATTTTGCTATCTAGGTCGATTCAGATCATCCCTTTACATGAAAGAGGGCGATTCAGGTCTGGAGGAACCATTTATACTTTCCCATGGTTTAATCTCTGTCAAATAAGTTTCTCGCTTATGCTTCGTCGTCTCCGATTTTCCGGTTTGGGTCGATGTTGTTTGTCAATGATTGAATCTCATCGAAGGTGAACATCGGTGGGAGGAGGCTGGCGGATCAATGGCGGCGGAGGTAAATAACCGTCGGATCTTCTAAAGGTGAGTTCTTTCTTCTTCTAGAAATGTATGTACTTATCAAGATGAACAATAGAAAACATAGAAATAATACAACTAAAGACATCATTGCTACTCGTAATTTGGGTTTTTTAACCTCCGATGATGATTTTTGAGGTTGGATTGAGGATTGAAAGCATAAAAATGGTTTATTTGGGTCAGATTGAATTGAACCCACAAACGCCATGATGGATTTGCATGTTGTGCAGTTTGAAAAGTAAGAATCTTTTTCTTCCCATTCAACTTCAATTCCAAATTTCAAGAAACTATCAAGAAACCCTAAAATGTCATATTGGCAGCCTTCCTTTTAGAGTTGTGGGGTGAATAGATCCACAAGAACGGATAATCTGAAGTGTATTTTTGGTAATTTTACATTCCCATGGACAATGGCTGTAGTTTGGGAGGGTTGGCGGCAGGCAAGGGCGGAGGTAGGAGAGACGAGGGCAGAAAGAATCGGTGAGTTGGAGAAATTGATGGGTTGAGTTGGGATGGTGGAGATTGAGTGAGTGGTGGTGCAATTAGTGGTGGTCGTCGTCGTCGTGGGGTGGAGGGAGGTGGAGGTGGAGGTGGGGTCGTGGTGGAGGAGAAAAAAGTGGTGGTTGTTGATAGATATGGTGGCCTGAAGTGGTGGAGGGGGTAATTGGATTTGGAAAGAAGGGTTGTTGCCTTTTAGTCATAGCATCATCATGAGGTTGTAGAACTCTTTATAATATCATTTTGGAGTGATAAATATTTGTTACAATTAGCTTTGGTTATAGCTTTCAGGAAAAAAAGCCTACGCAGCTGCAAAAAATCCACCAAAAAGAACTATACTTTTTAACTTTGAACATTTGTAACAATTTTCTTTGAACCTTTTTCCAGTGTTTCTTACATCATAAGACTGTACTTAAGGTGCATGTGGATTTGTGAGTTAATCATACAGGGAGTCAAAGAAATTGCTGACAATTTAGACTCAGGGGATGTCCTAGAAGATCGTTTGAGAAGGCTGACTAGGTAATACCTTATAACTGCATTCTTACTACTGTCCATCCTATTTTATTTATTGATTTAAAATTGGTGACACATGAGAAATATTCATATCATAGTCATAACCATTGTTTACTAAAAGAGTTAAGGCTTATGTCAGTTTGCTGCATTGCTCTTATATGCTCCATAATATCAATTTTGTTGGTCTGAAACAAGAAAAATACGATCAAGTTCATTCCTTGAAGGTTCTGAACAATATAGATGGATCTTCATGCACACTAAAAGATGGTATTACAACAAATCTTGAATCTCTTTATGGTAACTTATGTATGGGTTGAAAGCAAATCATAAAGCTTATGTTTTGTTTGTACATATTTACGTTAGTAGTTTTATCTTTGATGCTCCTAATAGTGAAAGCTTAAAAGAGGGTGGACCGTTTAGAGATACGGCCAATATATATAGTATTCCCCTTCAGTTATTGTTCAAGTTGAAATAGCTAAACTGGAAAGCATTTTATACCTTCTGCATTTGGAACACCATTATGACATTTAAAAGTTCATGTTAAACCGAGATCTGACAGTAGAACAATTTAACATGAATATAAAATGAGAGATTTGTAGAAGAAGATGTCTAAAAATTGGTTGCCGCTTTCTTTATTGAATACAAACTCTCTCAAAAATCCTAATCGACTCTCATGTGATATGTTTGAATCTGTGTGTTACAAAGTGTTGGTCATTCATCTCACTTCTATTCTATGCCTCTATCACTTCTTATATAGGCGATATTTACATGATAACTAAATCCTATAAATAAGGTAACTAAATCCTATAAACAAGAAAATGATCATTATCGAAAATGGGATCAACATCATCCTTCAAGATTCTGAAGATAGTCGTCAAGAGCATAGACCAACCAGAGGGCCTCTGGTCCTGAAGGACATAGAGTCCAGAGGCTCTGGTTGTCCAGAGGAGCTCTGGTCCTAAAGGACTTAGAGTCCAGAGGCTCTGGTCGTCCAAAAGAGCTCTTGTCATCTAGAGGAGCTCTGGTCCTAAAGGACTTAGAGTCCAGAGTCTCAAGTTTATACAACCATCGTCCAGAGGGGCTCTGGTCTTCTTCCAGACTTAGTCGTTTTAGCACATCAGCATCTTCAGATCTTCCATCCTTGTCCCCGATTGCTTGATAAAACTTTTAGAATAATTAGGATCAATTTTGTCCTAACAATCTCCCCCCTAAAGTTTTATAAAGCAAGCATCCTCTTGAATCCTTTAGGTCTTCTCCCCTCTGCTTTCTTCAATAAAGCTTTAGTGTGCTTGGTATAGATGGAATCTTCAAGCTCCCCCCTGAATGTAGCTTTCTAATCTTCATTTTCAACTCATAGACCAAATCAGATTCAATGTGAATGCAGCACCACTAATTGCACATAATGCAACTTTAATCTGCCTACAACCCAACACATACTTTGAAGCACAAAATAGCCACTCAACCCCAAAGGTAGCAAATTAATCCAACTAAGATATCGATAAATGTGTGAATTTCTTGACAAAACAGTGCAACCAGTCTTATGACAAAGAATCTTTCGTTAAACCGCAAGTTGAGTAGGAATTCAGCTTTAGAGCTTGATCCAATTGGAGATAACTTGAATAACCAAAGCAAACACCATTGCAATTGAGAACTGGAGAGAAGAATTAACATTAAGCTTTGTGGCTTCAAGAAACAGCAGGTCAATTCAAAGAAAAATGACAGTATTGCTGTTGATGCTTCTAATAGCAAAACATGAAGGGATATCGCCATATTCATATAGGATTGGTGATTCAGGTAAATAAATCTATAAGCTCTTACAGATTCAGATTTACAAGGAGAGACGATGAACAAATACTCAAGATATGAGCGATAAGTATAGGTTTGACAAACAAAACGCCCATTGCCTTAGTATGTGAGCACCATGAACTTCTGCTTAACGCCTACGCGTAGATCTGACAAAATTAAGGTTCAAAAGTTCGACTGACTCCAAGAAACTCCATCAAATAAACCAAATTTTTATTATCAAAATATGTTCGTATTCATCCAAGAAGAAATCCATTAAAAGGAATTTGATTAAAACATTTAATCATATGATGAATCGATGAATTTTGGGTCCAAACTGCAGTCAAACAAAAAGCAGTTCATGAAAAAGTATTGTTCAAGAAAATTGAATCTACTACAGAAAGATCGAATCGATAGAAGTTAATCGATTTGGCTCTGATACTAGTTGTTGGAACCCAGATACTCTTAATTTGTAGAAACACAGTTTATGAAAGATGAGAATTAAAACAAACAATGTATCTCGAATGATTAATCGAAATATTCAATGTATAAATAAGAACAATTGAATGACTTGAATATGTCGAATGCTTTTATTGATAAATATGAAGAACAATCAAAGCAAAACGTAATCTCACAAAATTTGCGTATAGTATTAGTCGGCTCTCTTAGGTTAACTGAACCTGAGGAGGAAGCCTCCTTATATACGCCAAAGTCTAACAACTATGCTATAAAATAGACTTGAAATTCTGAGCTGACTAGTCTGCGTCCTTATCTTTGACTTCCCTTGAAAAGTGGAGCAGACTTGGTCAAGCCGCGTCAAATCTGTCAGACGCTTGCGAGAATGTGTGGGCTAACACATGCGTTCCATGGAGAAAGTAGCCAGAAGCTCTGCATGAACATACAAAAGCTCTGCATGTACTATGCAAAGGCTCTGGGTCTTGGAGTTGTAACTTTGTGTCAAACGCTTATGCTTTTTGGCGCATAAGGCTTGATCGTCCACGGGAATAGAGCACGGGCTTTGTATGAATGGAACCTTTACTCTTGAGTAAGAGCTCTGGTTCTTGAACTTCTGCATGAGAGCTCTTAGTCCAGACCGCTTCAATAGACTAAGTCCTATTTGACTAGAGTAAGAGACTTTTTACTTACACTTTCATAAGAAGATGCAATGACAATCGGAGACAACATTGATGTGCACTCAATCATTGGG